ACCTAAGTATCTTTTTTTTGACATTACACTGATTTTCTATTTCTGTCTTAAAAATCTTGAATTTATCAAGCACCTCATCTTTTGAATGCAAAAGACAGATATGATAGTACTTAGAAAAATCATCAATAAATATTACAAAATATTTCTTACCACCTCTAGTGGGGGTACTATGCATGTCACATACATCACTATGCACAAATTCAAGCAGAGATGTGGTATTATCTACTTTAGGAAATAGAATACGAGTAATTTTAGATTGCACACAAAGTTTGCATTTTTCAAACATATCAATATCATACTTAGGGATTAAATCCAAATTAACCATATCATGCATTTTCCTAGTATTAACATCACCTAAATGAGTATGCCATAAAGAAAGAGAATCAATAATATAAGCAGAAACAGATGTATTATTGATAACGTTAAGTTTGAACATTCCTTGATACATGTAGTCCTTCCCAACAAAAATTCCACCCTTAGACAGGACAAATTTGTCCGACTCAAATACTAACTTGAAACCATGCTTATTAAGCAGACTTTCAGATACAAGGTTTTTCCTGACATCAGGTACATGATAAATATCATTAAGACTTAGGACTTTTCCAGATGTAAACTCTATATCCACCGTCCCTTTGCCTTTGATAGCAGCAGTTGAAGAGTTGCCCATGTAGAGAACTATTCCATCACTCACTTGTTCATAAGTAGTGAAACGACTCTTGTCGTTGCAGACGTGCCTTGTTGCTCCTGAGTCCATCCACCAGTCACTAGCATCTTCGAGCATGTTCACCTCGGATGCAATAGCCACGAACTTGTTCTTGACGCTTGATGCTTCTGGCTTCTTCTTGTATGACCGGCATTCATTTCTGATGTGCCCTAGCTTACCACAGTGCCAGCAAAGAGCCTTTCGGCTTCTTAGCATTTTTCTCGGGTTGGGGTATGCTTCTTTTTGTTGAACCTCTTATCATCATCCACCATGTGGATCTTGGACGTCTAAGCCAATTGGTTATCTTTACTTTCAAGTAACCTTGACTCTTCCTCAACTCGGAGGTGTTGAGCCAATTCCTCTAAAGTAAGATCTTCCTTTTTGTGCTTTAGAGTTTTCTTAAAATCCTTCCAAGAAGATGACAGTTTCTCTATTATAGATGAAACTACAATAGATTCATCCATGTTCATATTCTTTTGTCGAAATTGACTCAGATTACGTTGAATCTCATGGAATTGTTCCATAATGGGCTTTGTATCAATCATTGTAAAATGCATAAAATTACTAACAAGAAATTTCTTACTGGTGGCATCCTCGGTGAGGTACTTTGATTGTAATAAGTCCCAGAGTTACTTTCCTATTTCCAGATATTGATACACATCGAATGGAGAGTCTAACAGCGCATTCAAAATGTGTCCTCGGCAAATGTAGTCGTCATTCTCCCATTTGGTTATGGTACGAGTTTGCTCCACATTCTTGTCTTCTTTCTCCGTCGGATAGGGGGTAGTTAGCACATATTGAGAGTGGAGAGCAAAAAGTGCATCTTCTTTTGCCAGCGTCAAAAATTTCCTCCATCAAAACGGCCAAGCTTCATGAAATCTTGAGTCATTTTCTGAATAGACATCGCCATATCGTAATATTGTCTTTAGATTGTTAGAACAAATGGTCTTGAATTCTTCAGATAGTGGTCTTCGGGTCTTCTTAATTTGGTAATGATCTTGTCTATATAGAATAGAAAATTGGTACTTCAAGTCACGTTACTAAGTCGTTTTCCTAAAGACAATATTTGTACCCACCAAAAGGTGCGCAGAGGGTTACAACAAATTTGCCTCTAGGATACAATGAAGCCTGATCTAAAGATCAAGTCTACCGGTGTCTGCACTAACGATAGTAGATCAAAATACTCTTGATATAATCAAGCAAGCCAAGACACTAATAATCAAATCTGCAGAACTTGATTATCAATAAGAAAAACAGAAATTTGCTTAAGAAACTCTTGATCGAAAATTCAAAATCAAGAGAGAGAGAGAGAGAGAGAGAGAGAGAGAGAGAGAGAATTGCAAGAATGCTTTTTAGGATTTTGGATGAAATGAAATGGTTGATTTCGTAGCCTATTTGTTGGCCTTGATGGTTCAGATCGAATGGTCATGTCCCTTGATCGCATCCGATCAAATCTGACTATTGGATCGATGATCTATGATGCTGATCATTCTAACATCGAATAGATGCCTTCACTAATCACACCTGATCACGATCGAGTGCCATCTCATCTGTACAATAGTGCGCATCTCCAATCAACGGCTATGATCAACCTGCTCCAGATCGGACACACAACCGTTTGATCGGTTGGTTGACTCATCGCCAACGGACGACAAAGTACGCCATCAAACGCCACACAACCCACTGCCCATGCCACGCACGCGCGTGTACGTGCACCATCCTTGCAGTGTGAGTGCATGCACACTAGCTTTCACCTCACAATTCCATATTCAAAGGAATATTTCATGTAGCACTTTATTAAGTGCTCCATATTTTCCTCTCTTTCCGATGTGGGACAAAGTCCCCAAGATTAATTAATGATTTCCAAAGAAAAACAAGGAAGGTTTTGAAAACACCCAAAAAATTATACTATAAATTTTAAAAACCATTTTGAAAATTCCCCAATAATATATATATATATATTATATGTATGTTATTTACGAGTCTCACACAACCAAATAAATCTACTCAAATGGGAGAGTAGTGAATTGGTGCTCCACCCATCAATGGTCTTAGAGCATCTTCAATAGACATTTCAAGAGCGTATTAGTATAGGACATTAGGATAGTTAACTAATACAATTTTTTTTTTTTTGTTTTTTTTTTCAGGTGTTTCAATGCATTTGTTAATTAGTTTTATTTTATAAGTGTGGTTTCTCTCAAATTTTCATCCTAATTTGAGAGAATGTTTGGATTTGATAGGTTTATTTTTAGACTGATTTCGATGATCCCTATTATTCACTTTTTAAGACTCGTTTAATAAATATTTATGCAAAACATCAAGATAATTGAATATCGGTAACTATATGTTTGAATTGTATTTATTTTAAAAACTAGACAATAAATATAATCTCAAAAATAGTCATTCATTTTTGTAATACAATTTTGATTAAACATATAATTATCGATATTTGATCATCTTGATTTTTTGCATGAATATTCTACTCAACGAGTTTTAAAAAGTGAATGGTTGGATCATCGAAATCGGTTCCAAAATGGACTTACCAAGTTCAAATGCGCTATCAATTTGATATGGCCAACTTGAAATAAGTCAAACACTTATTTTATATACATATTTAAGTGGTCTCAACTCTTACATAATACATTTTTTAACATACATTTTGATTACATTATTAGAACACCCACTCATTCTTTAAGTTAAAGAACATTTAACACGCAAAATTTAAACTTGACTTTTACTATAATTTATATATATATATATATAATATACTCTTAGCATGTAAATTTGGATAGTCTATTCCAAATACTCTTAAATAAATTTGGAGAGTCTTAACGAACCATTAGAAATTTGCCTAGTCGTTAACTTTACGATCTCCAAATATTAGTTTTCATCTATCCACGTACAAGGTAACTCGGGCCCAATTGAGCTAGACTATGAGGGTGATACCTTGAATTATCATAAAATATAATAAATAAAAATCATTTTATCCCATTATGGTTTGAGCCTCAAGTACTTTACTCCTTTATAGTTCAAACATAGTTAGAAAGTTGTATGCGATTTTGGACCAAAGTGAAACTTTTAACATTGTTAAAATGACTATAATATCCTCAAATTTTATACCTTTTTATTTTATTTTATTTTTATCTACTCTCAAATACACATAATTTATAATTTCTAAAATTAATTCAATTAAACTAGAATAAATTATAAATTCTTAATTACTTGTTATAATTCTAAAATTTTTAATCTAACTATTTTTTAGATCACAATTAATTTTAAATCCTTAATTATTTATTGTAATTATTAAAATTTTAAGAGTGAAGTATCAATAAATCTCAAATAGTGATCTTATGAACTGTTTAGTCCTACATTTTTCTTATAGACCCAAAGGCCACATTCTAGTGTGAATTACATGAAGAACCAAGCATAAACGCTCATGTGTTATGTGTTGAGGGACAAATATGTGTTTTCTTAAAATGTTAAAATTACTAAACATAACACTTCAAAAAACTCCTTAGCATAATTTTTCAAACATAACACTCCAATGTAACACTTCAAAAACGTAAAACTCCAATGTAACACACTAAAAAACTCCTTATTGTGCTTTTCTCAAACATAACACTCCAATATAACACACTAAAAAAACTTCTTAGTATACTTTTCTCAAATATAACATTCCAATGTGTATTTTTTCCAAACGTAACCGTAAAACTCTTTTGTGTACTTTTTTCAAAATGTAACACTCTAATGTAATATACTAAAAAACATCTTATTGTATTTTTCTCAAACGTAACAACATAACATTTCAAAAAAAACTCCTTAGTGTATTTTTCCTAAATGTAACACTCAAATCAATGTAACACATAAAAACTCTTTTTTTCAAAAGTAGCACTCTAATGTAACACCAAAAACCACACTAACAGAAATGTAGAATTCCATCCTCGACAACCAACACTTCAGCCACCAATCTCCTCAAAAAGAATTTTTCACACCTCATCTATCCATTCTCATCTCAAAAACGAATTAGAAAATTGAAAAAATATATCACAAAATGGTATTCGCTTAAACTCAAATGACATCAAACAAAATAAATACAATTTTTCAAAATAAAAAGGACTAATTGGTTCATAAAAAAATTCTTAAGACTAAATGGATCAACATTTCCCCATATGGGATTTATGGATAAATTTTCCAAATTTTAATCTAATTATGTTTTAGAATACAATTAATCCTTAATTCTTAATTATTTATTAAAATTCTTAACATCTTAATCACACTGAATCTCTGCATCGTGCACACTGAACGCCACCGCTGCAAATCGCCATCGCCCTCTGTCTAATGGACTCCTCATTTCTGGGGGATCCTCACCCAATCTCACCTCATCGCAGACCAGCGTCGCACGCCATTGCTAGCTCCACCGCCACCGCTAGCGCCACCGCCGGATCCTCACAGGTTCTCTCTCACTCTCCGTCTGTCTGTCTGTCTCTCTCTATTTCTCGCTGTCTCCCTCTCTAGCCTTTGCCCTTGGTCTCTCTCCCTCTCTCTCTCTATATATATAATGCGGCGAATTTTAGTACAGAGAGAGGGATTTGAGCTCTGATGAATTGATTCCATTTTTGGTCAATTTCTTGATTGATTATTGTTGAGAATGAAAGGTTTTGTGGGTTTTGAGATCTCATGGTTTAGAGGATGGTTTTGTGGGTTTTGAGATCTCATGGTTTAGAGGATGGTTTTGTGGGTTTTGAGATCTCATGGTTTAGAGGATGGTTTTGTGGGTTTTGAGATCTCATGGTTTAGAGGATGGTTTTGTGGGTTTTGAGATCTCATGGTTTAGAGGATGGTTTTGTGGGTTTTGAGATCTCATGGTTTAGAGGATGGTTTTGTGGGTTTTGAGATCTCATGGTTTAGAGGATGGTTTTGTGGGTTTTGAGATCTCATGGTTTAGAGGATGGTTTTGTGGGTTTTGAGATCTCATGGTTTAGAGGATGGTTTTGTGGGTTTTGAGATCTCATGGTTTAGAGGATGGTTTTGTGGGTTTTGAGATCTCATGGTTTAGAGGATGGTTTTGTGGGTTTTGAGATCTCATGGTTTAGAGGATGGTTTTGTGGGTTTTGAGATCTCATGGTTTAGAGGATGGTTTTGTGGGTTTTGAGATCTCATGGTTTAGAGGATGGTTTTGTGGGTTTTGAGATCTCATGGTTTAGAGGATGGTTTTGTGGGTTTTGAGATCTCATGGTTTAGAGGATGGTTTTGTGGGTTTTGAGATCTCATGGTTTAGAGGATGGTTTTGTGGGTTTTGAGATCTCATGGTTTAGAGGATGGTTTTGTGGGTTTTGAGATCTCATGGTTTAGAGGATGGTTTTGTGGGTTTTGAGATCTCATGGTTTAGAGGATGGTTTTGTGGGTTTTGAGATCTCATGGTTTAGAGGATGGTTTTGTGGGTTTTGAGATCTCATGGTTTAGAGGATGGTTTTGTGGGTTTTGAGATCTCATGGTTTAGAGGATGGTTTTGTGGGTTTTGAGATCTCATGGTTTAGAGGATGGTTTTGTGGGTTTTGAGATCTCATGGTTTAGAGGATACATAAACTTTTATTTATAGTTCAAGGAGAAATAGAAAAGACACTCACAAAGTGAGTAGTAATATCGCTAACAAATCCCAATTAAACAGCACAGAATTAAGTTTTCAAACAAGATGAAAGAATATTAGTATTTTCACAATGGAATAATACTTAATAGGATTTTCTAAGGATAACCAAACCAATCAGATAGCATAAATTAAGTTTTTCATCAAGCAAGAGGAAAGAATATTTGTATTTTCACAATGAGATAATACTCAATATGATTTTACAGGGTTGAAACTCACCACAGCCAAATAGCTTTATAAATTAAGTTGAAGCTTGACTTAACTCACTCAATAACCTTTGCTAAAAATATTTGAGGCTGGCTCAAATCCCTGTTAGCTGTTTATGATATCTTTATTATTAACAGCGATTTTCTATGAGAAACTAAAAAAGTTGCTAAAAAAATCGTACTTAATACACAGGAATCCCACTTATAGTAAGGATTCTCATCCATTTTCAATTGCATCAAACCCTCTAGGACTAATTAATCAAAATAGGCTATGTAATTCAGTTAAAAAGAAAGGCATACTAGTTAGTTATTAAAATGTGGAACTGTTTGTTTCACATGTTAAATATAGATCCTTATGTACCATATCATCTATTACATATGAATAATACTAGACACCCACATGTAAATGCAAGTGTACGTAGAAGAATAATACTAGACACCCACCTTTCACTTCTCCGAATTTATTTCGAATGGGATCGTGTGATTCTCATTAAATTTATGTAGTGTGGGGTTTATATATAAAATAAATTTAAATTATAAGACGAAAATTTTAAGTAATTTATGTATTGATTTTGATTTGAATTTTTTGTTTTTCATATTTCTTTATCCTTAAAGTTTTTTTTTTAAGTTAATTTTTTATAAAAATAAAATTTTAAATATTAAAAAATAGAATATTAATAAAAAATTCTAAAAATAATTAAATAAAATCGAACACGTGGCTTCGATATCGTCTGCTTGATGGATGGAAGACGCACACAGATGTATCTAGGGCACGCAGTCTAGTTCAGACGATCACCGGCGTCTCTCTCCCCCTCCTGTTCCTCTTTCTCATCTAGGTCTCACTTCACCTCTCTATTAGTTCGGACCACAAATTTCTTAGCCAAACATGGGATTATGCATTTCGTTGGATTATTAGTCCAATCCCATGGCCATATCGGTCCAAACAAATTGTATGAATATTCCTGGTTTAGCTAATGGGTAGAGTAATTTAGTCTGTATTGCTTGCTTTGATTTCAGGTGCGGAAAGATTAAAGACATAACATTTGTATGTGGTTTGATTACTCAAGTGTTGTGATTTTTTAGTTCAAAGTGTCACTTTACAGACAATAGTTGAGAGCGGGTAAAGTGTATATATTTGTTTCTAGGTGCATTACAATACGTTGGTACTTGTTTTTGTTTAAACCTAAGTCTGTTAGATTTGGGACAGTCCGGTATGATCATCATACTATTTGGGTTATTTTCAGGGTCATTTAAAATGACAGAGCCTTCCAAAGTCATTCATGTACGCAATGTGGGGCATGAAATTTCTGAGGTACTTCTCTCTCTCTCTCTCTCTCTCTCTGTGCCAGTAAATATGTAAGTAGATGATGTTTTAAGCTTTTCTCTTTGGAAATAAGAACTTTTGTTTCTTCTTCTGCATGGTACTCCCAAATTGTGTGTGTGGTTCCCAAATGACTCATCCAACTTTTTTTATCCATTCCATTAATATACATGGAATCTAAACTGGTATTCTAATGCAAGTTTTGATGTAAAGTTTCTATTTGTCTTTTTATATTTAATTTTATAATATGAGGAGAAAAACATGATTATATCCTGCTTTTCTCTTGGGTCTTACTAATGTCTGTCATCTGCATTTAAATACAATCACATCCATTTACACATTGTATAGAGAGAGTGAGTGTGTGGGACACACGTGCATGTATGTAGGACTCACACACTCACTCTCCCTATGGGTGTGTGTTGGAGTGTGGAAATGGGTGTGATTGTGGCATTACTATTTAAGTTTAGAAGCAAACTTGCCTCCTATCAAATTTAACTTTGAAAAAAGCTTTTTTTTCGCAAAAAATGACAATTGCCGACCAAGAGTTTTGGTCGCAAAAAATACATCTATTGCCGACCAAAACAGCTCTTGGTCGTGGAAACTCACTATTGCCGACCAAAAGTTTTAGTCGCGAAAAGTAACAAATGGCGACCAAAACTTTTTTTAGTCGTGGAATGTCACAATTGGCGACCAAACTTTTTGGTCGCCGAATGTCACGATTGGCGACCAAAATTTTTTGGTCGCGGAATGTCATGATTGGCGACCAAAATTTTTGGTCGTTGAATGGGATAATTGGCGACCAAACTTTTTGGTCGGGAAAATTTCACTTTTCGCGACCAAAGTGTTTTAGCGACTAAATGAATTAGTCGCGGTAATGATATATTTCGCGACCAAAAATTTGGTCGGCAAATCTGACTTTTCCCGACCAACCAAAATTTTGGTCGCGAATTACTTTTGCCGACCCTCAATTGGCGACCAAAGTAGCGACCAAAAAAATTGGTCGCGGATAACTTTTACCGACCAAAAATGGGCTTTTAGCGACCAATTTTTTGGTCGGCAAAAATGTTAATTCTTGTAGTGAATACTGGAACTCAGAAAAGTACCTTGAAAAGTATATTTATGAAGATAAATGCTAGGCATGTAAGAAAATTATCAAAGTTTTTACCCAACATTCATATGAGTGTGGGTCTATACTCATGAGTTTCACGCTCATGTGAGTGTTTGATAAAAAAATTTAATAATTTTTTCAAATCATTAGCATTTTTCATTTATGAATTACAATCATTTTAAATGCGGTCAACATTCTCTCAACTTTAAATTTACACCATTCACCTCATTTTTAGATAAAATTCATAACGCAGATCATGCTACTATACACTATCCAACAAGGGGTGCGTACCATATGCAACTTATGACATTTGTTGTGTTGATATCACAAATGTCATAACTAAATCATTTCATGACTAAAAAAATATATAAGGAGTCATAACTAAACAATATTTAAGGTATAACAAAAAAAAATGTTATGATCAAAATAATAACTACAATAGATCACAACCAAGTCATAGCTAAGAGTCATAATCAAACACAACTTGAGACATATAATAACCAAAGACCTCCTTGGTCATAAAAATTATAAGAAATCATAACTGAATACAAATATCATAATTGAAACGTGATACATGTTTTCAAACGGAGTGTATTATAGAATTTTTCATAACACAATGGAAAATGCTATATGTTTCAAATTTTTTACCAAATGAATGACCAAATGTTTTATATGAGTGTGGGGTCCATAAAAGTGTGGACCCACACTTATATGACACATTTGGTCATTTATTTGGTAGAAAATTCGGTACTCCTAATATTACCCTAACACAATTTGATGCATTTTTCATAAAATCCACGTGCCCCATGAAATATGAAGTAACTCACCGGTCAAATGGGAATTGACTCATGTAGAATTCAACCAAACACTTGTACAGCTAATTTTCTTCACAAGTCAAAATGCTCAAAAGCTCCACATTCCACACCACGACCACCAACACTACTACTAACAAACATTTGTTGAAGTTGGTGTTGGACTTACAATCCAGACCAGACCAGAGGGAGCGTTGGATGGATATATGTGTGTGTGTGTGTGTGTGTGTAGACCTTTGTTTAACTTTGTGACCCCCCAAATTATCAAACTTGATATGATATGGAAACATCAAAGAAAACAATCAACATTCCACTCTGTTTTCTCATTCTTCTTCTGTTGTTGCTCTCTCACATTGCAGCCTCCAGCACCATCGTCACATCTTTACCCGGTTTTAATGGCACTCTTCCTTTCTCACTTGAGACCGGGTCAGTGAGTTTGTTGTTTCCTTCAATTCTTTCTCCCTGTTTGGTTGCTGAGAATGAAATTGAAAGATTTACTGAATTGTATTATGCAATGCAGATATGTGGGTGTGGGTGACATGGATGATGTGCAGCTGTTTTACTATTTTGTGGAGTCTCAGAGGAACCCTGCTCAAGATCCTCTAATGCTTTGGCTTACCGGCGGCCCTGGCTGTTCTTGCCTCACTGCTTTCTTCTACGAAAGTGGTTCATTTCTTACCATTTTTACTTACCTAACCAATACGTATATTATTAGAGAAAATTTTAATGTAACACTGATACAATGTAATTATTAACACGTAAAATCATCGTCTAATAATAAATTACTATATGGGCATCCTATAGTGAACCACATCGTGCTGATGATAGGGTAGCTATTGAATTGTGTTGAATGATAGTTACATTACATTTAATTAGTAAAATTCATGAATCCTGTATAGCTATGCCGCGATGATAACATGTTATCAACGTCAAAGTAATAACTTTTTCCTTCCTTTGAAAACTGCCAAATGACTTGGAAGATCTATCATCAATTAGTATTGATTTTCAGATCATTGTCAATTAGTAATGTGTTGGGGTTCTTTGTCTTGAAAATCCTTGTCCCTCTCTAATGTATCTCTCAGTCAAGTAATATTATTTTTTTAACTTTGAAAAAATTATATTGTGTGATGCAAAGATACATAAACATGGTCCTTTCCTTCTTCTTTTTTAATTACAAATGACATGACATGCACACATTGCTTTGAAACTGAAACATCACTCTACAAAGGAAACTAGAGACCAAACTTAAATAAATAGATAAAGATAAGAAAAAAACAGCTTTCAGGTACATCAATTTATCTCATGCATTCATTCCTTTAGCCCAAAAAAAAAGACCAAACCAAGCCCAAAGTCACATCAAATGGGGTCGGCTATAGGATTCATCGTCATAAGGGATCTGAGCGGCTTTTTTACGTATTGGCTATCGGATACCTAACACACAACCCTCCTCCTTAACCCGCCCTTGGGACCGGCGGAGTTGTTAACAACCCCGGCGGAGTTAGCCCAAAACAAAAAAAAAAAAGAAGGAATCTAATCAAGCTCAAATTATCATAATAAGGAAAACAAAAAAAATATATTTGCGTAGGAAAGAGACAACACAAGTTCCCATTTTCTTTTATTTTTTTCTTTCTGTTTTCGAAAAAAATGTGGAAAAAGAAAAAGACAAAAGAAAGAGTACAACACCAGACCAATGGTTGTAATTGCAGTTCTTTAATATCTGTAAATTTGACATCAGTAGCTGCAATAACAGTAGTTAGTGAAAGAAAATCAATGTTCAAAACTTGAAACCATGTTACAGTTGAGTGAGTATATAGTAATGTTCTTGAACCCCCAATGAACTAATAAATAATTTTACTATATAGCAGCAAAAAATATGACCTACATTTTGATTTTTCTTTTTTATTTATTATTATTTTTAAATGATTGCATATAGGTCCAGTATATTTCGAATTTGAGGGCTACAAAGGTGGCTTACCAACGTTGCGTTTAAACGAATATACATGGACTCAGGTGGAAGTTGTTCTAATCTCTATGCAAATTGTGCATTTTGTTAATTTATTACCTATAAACTGTTTAGAAATTTCTCTAGTTATGACTAAAAAGCGGTGACAATTTTTCACAGCGCGCCAATATACTATATGTAGATGCACCTGTTGGGACTGGATTCTCTTACTCAGAATCCCAAGAAGGTTACTATGTGGATGACTATAAATCAGCAAAACAGATTTATGAATTTTTAAGAAAGGTGTGTTTTGTTTTGTTTACCAAAATATTATATATATCACCCATTCTAAACTTGAGTAACAGGCCGATGGATTTTATTGGCTTCTCACTGTGCTGTGTGCAGTGGTTGAAAAGTCATCCTGAATTTTTGGAAAATAATCTATACATTGGTGGTGATTCTTATTCAGGCATAATAGTACCAATGGTCGTTCAAGAGATCATCGATGGTAGGCATCTTCTCAACTATCTTTTTTGCACATACCAATCACAAAATGATTCACGGACAATATATAAGAAGTTAGGGCCTACAAGCAGGTCCTACATGTGGGATCACACCATCTTATTACTTGTCTGTAAACTATTATGTGAATGGCTTTAGTTATTTAACTAAAACCATTTTTCCTATAGTATTGGGTCTCTATTGAGTAACAAGGGATGTTGCCCCGCAAAACAATTTAGTTTCGAGGCTTTGAGACCAAAATCACACCATTTTGAGGCGCAACACCGCTGCTACTAGTGGGGACCCCAAAAATCCATTGGAACATCAGTTCTTAATATTGGTTTTTATTCATTATGGTTTTGCAGGTAATGAATTGGGAAGGCAGCCGAATATGAACCTTAAAGTAAAAGAACTAACCTGGAACTTGAATTTTCTTTCAATTTAGCCAACTTCAAACTGAACATTGTCTTATGCTCAACATTTGGAATTGGGAATCTTCCTTCCTATGTCAAAAAAATGATTATATTTTCAAGGTTCCTAAATTATAGTCCGCTGTGATGTTCTTAAAAATGCTGTCAGGGATATATTCTTGGAAATCCAGTGACAGATTCATATGTGGATGTCAATTCAAGAATTCCATTTGCTCATAGGCTAACACTTATTTCTGAGGACCTGTATTGGGTGAGTTCATGTTTCATCTTGTTTTCTTTTCTTATAAGTTTGTTACGTTTTTGTAATTAGCAATTTCATTTGACAAAATTCCTTTTAGTTGTAATTTTATTCGCTCTTTTGTTTTAGTGAGGCTATGAGTGTTTAGATGTGAATCCACCCCGAGTTATACTTATGTAGAGGAGTTTGTACTAACATTTTGTATCTTGAGCATTCCTTATTTACCACTTCACTGACCATGCCCCTGACGGGTCCAGGGGCTAAGCGAGGTCGAGGGATAGCACGCTCAAGTAGTCATTTGTGCGCTCGAGCGGTAAAGTGGTTTATTCAGTATCTCTGCCTGCGTTTTGAACTTCTAGGAGACACGTTTTATCACTCGAGCGATAGATGTTGCGCTCAAGTGGTTGGCCTATATGTTTGCACTGCCTCACATCGCTCGAGCGGTAAAGTGGTGGCTCAAGCGGTCTTCATGACTCTGTTTAGTAAAAAGTGCGTTGTTTGCTAGTTTTAGGGTTTAACTCATCCAGATTCTCAAAGAGGAGTAAAATATAGAGTGTTCTATATTGGAAGGTGTCTTATGTTAGTTTTCTTGATGTATAGAAGGTGATCGTTTGATCAATGAACTATATATTGACAAACATCAAGGGTTATTTTGTTATTTCATTCGCTAAAAGAGAGAGAAGTGTTTTTCGGTGGATTCTGGGAAACTTGGGCCTGAATCTTTGGTAGATTCCAGAGTGGTTCATCATCGTGGATTCGACATCAACGTTGTGGATTCAATATTGAGTAAAGCAATTCCATGGTGAAGACGGTTGCGGAAGAGACACATTGAGATCGGTTCAATTCGAGCGTGGATTCACTAAGTAATTGAGAGTTCTCGTGTGTAATTCTTTTTGTTTTCTTAGTAGATTGTTTTGTGGCTTTAGCCCGTGATTTTTTTTATCACAATTGGAGGAGTCCAATTGTGACTTTTTCCACATTAAATCGTTGTGCTGATTTCTTGTTGATTGTTTGATTAGGATTACTATTCATTGTTTAAAAATGAATCATAATCACAAATCAATAGCTCCGGGGTTTTTAGATTTCAAAGTTCTTCCTCAAGTCTTCATGGAACCATAGTAAATAGATTCGTAGACACAAGAAGCTGAAAAATATTAGGTATGTTTGGTTAATTTAATAGATTTGTGCATTTTCACATGCTAAATCTTTAGAGGTCTTGTTTCAAAAAGGCCTTTTAGCAACAATGAGCATTTTGGTAAAGGGTCTATGGAAATTTCTTCCAAGCATTTTGGTAATGTTTTTTATTTTTATTTTTTTTATTTTTTTCCCACATCCATTTTCAAGAAAACCTTTGGACACTTCTGTTAATGGATCTTTAAATTTTTGTTTTCAGTTTTGTTCAATAGTTTTAGACTTCATACAATCATGAAACTTATCATTTTCTCTATTTGCCTGTGTGCATTTTGCTTAACTAATTGTCCCTGGTTTTCAAGCCATCAAGAACCATATGATCAAATATTACATTAAAAAGCTCATATCTTTCAATTGAATGGTATCATTCTAAAAGATCTGCAATCTTTTTTGAATTTTCAAGGCAGCAAAAGCAAGTTGCAATGGTGATTATGTGAATATAGATAATGAAGATTGTGAATTAAATATGGAAGCCATTGATGAGGTTAGAGGGACTATCATTTTTTTATTTATTTTTCTTCTCAGTCTTTAGTTTGAAGATACTGAGAACAAGGATTATATTTTGAATATACAGTTGATCCTAGACATAAAGTTCGCACATGTTTTGGAACCTTATTGTGGGTACGCATCCCCAAGACCACATGAGGGAAAATGGCGTCAAAGATCTCTCAAAGAGCACCCTAAAGATCCCCTCCGCTTACAACCTATTGGTCCTGCATATTTTTGCCAGGTAAACCTACCTTGTAACACAAAAATTCTTGTTTAATTTTTCTTTTGGTATGCAATTTCATTTCTTATTTAGTCTAATAAAATAATAAAAAACCCAACTAGTCTTCTTCTTTTATAGGATTACCTTTATGTTCTCTCCGAGATATGGGCAAATAACGAGACTGTCCAAGAAGCTCTCAATGTTCGATCGGTATGTAGAACTAATGAAACATCAAATTTCACATACTGGAGAAAATTTTGATCAGTAAAATTTTTATGACGCTAAATATTGAACAGGGGACAGTAGGAGTTTGGCAGAGATGCAATGGCAGCTTAGCTTATACAAAAGATGTAACAAGTACTATCGCTTATCATCAAAATCTAACTGCAGCTTCCCTCCGAGCTTTGATATACAGGTCAAATCTTTTTTCTTTCTCTCTCTCTCTCTTTTTTTTTTTTGTTGTTGTGTGTGTGTGTAACTTCTTGGTTAATTTCCATTATTTTGCAAAATCTCGAAGGTTTTATAGAGTTACCGCCTATCAAGAAATAATATTTAGGGTTTCAAATACAAAGCCAAAGGTGGCCAGTGTAAGTAAAATTTGATCTTAATTATCTTTCTCTTGATTTAAAATGATCTCTTTTGCTAACAATTTATTGAGTCCTAATACATCAAGAATTACATCTACAGGATTTGGAAAACTATAATCCCTTAAAAGCACTGTTACATTAGTACTCATTGAATGAACTTTTTTTTGGTTTTTCAAATTCTATGCAGTGGTGATCATGATATGTCAGTTCCATACATCGGTACACAACAATGGATTAATACTCTAAATTTGACTCTGAGTAACGTTTGGCGAGCATGGTTTGTCGATGCTCAAGTTGCAGGGTGGGTTTTCTCAATCTGCTCATTTTTTACTTTTTATTTTTTATATCTACCTCTTTCTTCTTCTCTTTCATGTGGGCATACATGTACAATTTGACATATATATATATATATATATTGTACATTGAAATGTTTCACAATCTTAACCTTATTTTTTCATGTAGATATGTGAGGAGGTTTACAAAAGACAATTATGCTTTGACGTATGCAACTGTGAAGGCAAGTTACCAAAACCTTTCCCTTTGTTTCTTCTCTCCATTATTTACAGCTTGAAAATAATGACTTCAAATGTATTTTATGTTAGATTTCAATAGAAACCCCAAATCCCAAGCTTCTTGTGGAATAATCGAAATGAGAAAACAAAAGCAAGAAGAAGGAAAAAACATCAATCACACAAACAAGAAAAGACACAAATAGTTCGACAAGATTGTCTACGCTCACGGCTCACACCAGTTTCACTACATTAGAAAAACAAAAGAGAGAGTACAACAGCCGCTGCTACAGAACACAACATTGTATAATGCTAGGGTTTACATCAACAATTACCAAAAACCCAACAAAGATCTCATGTCAGACCAAAAGAACAAAGCAATAATAATAGTAAACACGAACCTAATGCCATTGATGTTGACAATCTAAGTAGTAGAGAGCCCTATAGCAGTTGTTGTCTTACGTCTCCAATCTTTTCTTACTCTTGTCTCACACACTGATGAGAAAGAAGAGGCCAGAGTCTGGAGTCTGGACTTCAATCACATTTATGAAGTCCCAATTCTATATTTGTCTATATATATATATATATATATATATATATATATTGTACATTGAAATGTTTCACAATCTTAACCTTATTTTTTCATGTAGATATGTGAGGAGGTTTACAAAAGACAATTATGCTTTGACGTATGCAACTGTGAAGGCAAGTTATCAAAACCTTTCCCTTTGTTTCTTCTCTCCATTATCTACAGCTTGAAAATAATGACTTCAAATGTATTTTATGTTAGATGTCAATAGAAACCCCAAATCCCAAGCTTCTTGTGGAATAATCGAAATGAGAAAACAAAAGCAAGAAGAAGGAAAAAAAATCAATCACACAAACAAGAAAAGACACAAATAGTTCAACAAGATTGTCTACGCTCACAGCTCACACCAGTTTCACTACGTCAGAAAAACAAAAGAGAGAGTACAATAGCCGCTGCTACAGAACACAACATTGTATAATGCTAGGGTTTACGTCAACAACTACCAAAAACCCAACAAAGATCTCATGTCAGACCAAAAGAACAAAGCAATAATAATAGTAAACGCGAACCTAATGCCTTTAATGTTGACAATCTAAGTAGTAGAGAGCCCTATAGCAGTTGTTGTCTTACGCCTCCAATCTTTTCTTACTCTTGTCTCACACACTGATGAGAAAGAAGAGGCCAGAGTCTGGAGTCTGGACTTCAATCACATTTATGAAGTCCCAATTCTATATTTGTCTCTCCATAAATATATAGAGTTTGAAGTAGGCTTTTAAATTGATTTTTATAGTGCATGTAATACGACAAAAATATGTGCTTTTAGAGACAGGCTTGACTTACACCACTCAAATTTATTTGGTATTACTATACATATGATCTATGTAGGCTCATCTAAAAATAAATAAATAAATAAAATCTAACATTTTATGTATATTGTACAGGGGGCAGGTAATCTAGCTCCAGAATACAAGCAAAAGGAATGTTACACCATGATCGATAGGTGGTTTGCTTATTATCCTCTGTAATTGACAACTAGCTTCCTCTGCTTGCTATCTATGGATGAGAGTATGTGTGTAAATATCACTAGAAATTTGGCTCCTCTTTATTTCTAGTGTTAAAACTACTATCTGATAATGCCGTGTATTATGGAGCTTGAGATTCAAGCCAAAACAACAACAATAAATGTGTCTCAGTTCACAATTTTTTTTTGAAGCAAGTGTATTCATGAATTCGGATATGGATTTGGATTTTTGGATTTATCATGTTGGACATGAGACTTGGATTTGAAATCGGTAAGTTGTGACACTTACATCTACAAATTGATACAATGAATGAGTTAGTACTTTTCAGTTAATAAATGGTTCTTGAAGGTTCTTACAGATGGTAATTTCCATTAATTTCATATGGATTCCACATAATTTTTTTTAAAAAAAAATTTAATTTGGCATGTTTCTAAATACATGTGTTATGATTTATAATTATTGGCTATTATTTCATATTACTAGTTCCCCCCAATCTAGGTCTCATTCAAGTTAGTCCACATTGTACTTTATTGAAGATGAAATGGGACATATATATTAAGAGAAATAAAGAAAAACTTTGCTCATCTCCTACCATACTAGCTTTAAAAACCCTTCTGAAGAGGGAGTATTTCCAACCTTGTTTAACGACCATTTTGTTTTGACATCAAATACCATTTGCCACTTCATCCAATGTATTTTCCTACTTTTACCATTTCCATTCCACCGTAACATGGCTGCCATCGTGGACAAATCTTTGTGCAACCCTTTACGCTGTGTTTGGTTAGAGATTTAGGAAGTGATTTGAAAAGGGAAATGAAATAAGTGTGTGAAACTTAGTGAAATATAAGTATGTTTTATTTACATTTCACTTACCTTTTTCATTTTTTTTTTCAAATCCCTACTCAAGTACCCCAACCAAACACAACCAAACACAGCATTAAGCAAATTCAAGGGGTGGATTGCTTAAGGGACAAGAAAGTGGTAGCTAGTGGCCAAAGTTGCACAAGGAATAGGAGGAGAAAGGAGAGAGAAGGGAAGAATAGGGCATTTTGGTACATTCAATAGATTCTACTCTCTTAGGATAAAAAAAAATAGATTCTACTCTCTTGTAGTTTATTTATTTTTATCCTTTCCAACCTTGCTCTAATTAAAATTTTGGACAAATACGACAAGGTGCATATAGTTTTCTCCTTTGTCATTTTGACCTCTAAAGTTTTAATTAGTTTTAATTCAACCTTCATTTTTGAAATAATATCAGTTTAGTCCAACTAAAAGCAACCATGAGCTTTTTTGACTAAAAGCACACGAGCAACATATTTCATACTTTTAGTGGCAAAATTGTAAGTTTGCTCATGCCGTATACAACTAAAATGAGTTCACTCATTCAAAAAAATAAACCATATGACTCAGTGAGCCATGTATGTACGTGTATGTATATATATAAAAAGAGAGAGACCGATAAAGAGAGACAGACAAAAAGGGGGAGCTAGGAAGGAAGAATGTCTATAGTTGACGAGAGATAATGGGCACAACTGTGATAGAAAATGCAACAAGGGGGTGATGTTGAAGGCTGAGGAAAGAAGTGGCATGGCAAACCTAGAGAGAGAGGGGGGGTGGCGTCGCAAATCTAGGAATAAGAAAGGAAAGTATTCTGACTCTCCTTCTAGTTCAAGATGTGATTTTGATTATTTTTCATTTTGGTCCAAGACATCATACCTAATTCAGATTCTTGATCCTCATACCTTTTTCTTTTGATTTTGATGGTTGTGAATAATGTTGTTGGTGGTTGTGGGTGTTTGGTGGCAAATGGTGGAGGTATATAATGGGTGGAGGAGGTGAATGCTGGTGATAGTGGAGTCAGGTGGCGGGTGGAGGAGATGATCAGTGGTGGCAATAGAATGGGATGGGGGGGCAAGTAGAGGAGGTGCACGGTGGTTGGTGGTGGCTAGTAAATGTTGCAAGGAGTGGAAATGAGATCAAAGGAAAAGAGATTTGAAATGTCTATTTTGTCCTTGAAAATGGTCATATGTGGACATGGCTATTTTCTATTAAAAACCTAATATCAACAACTCGTTCCACCTTTAGAATCAGTTAGACCTGTGCCACTTGCACTATCAACACCACCACTTGCACCAAAGCAACAACCTACATAGTACATAAAATATTTACATTTGTATATGAAGGAATCAACCTAAAGGACGAGAAACATGTTAACCAAAATGAAACATCATATTCATTCAAACATTTTTACAAACACTTGCAGTGTATTATGTAACCCATATTTTAAATCAAATACTTGTACATTTGTTGCCAAAATCAAGGTAAAAGAAGAAGATAAAATGCAATAATGCATTATAGTGGTTATTATGGACAGTGTTGGCTGTCGGTTCATAGTGGTGGATGATGGTGAGAACCATTATGAGATCTCACGACACATAAGGAGATTTTCTCTTCAACTAAGCCCACATCTTCTCCATTGCTGTGGTGGTTTCCGATAGCGTGGTCATAGACAGCACAATAGTGCAACTGGAGAAACTGGGGAAAGAAAATGTTACTTTGAAGAGAGTAAGACCATCTCCAATCGTGTATTAAACTTATCATCAAATTTGAATTTGATAAAAAATAGTTTTTTTTCAACTCTAACGGTTTAATCAAATCGATATCAAATCGAGAATATTAAATATATTTTTCTAAATAGAGGACATCTGAGAGCTTTCAGTATTTCATAGTTTGGTGTTGTTGATTTTGTAGAACTAGACAACAAGCCGGACATCCGCCAGTCATCCGTTTAGTTGAAAAATTCTCACAACAAAGCATACTCTCAGAATTGATGGATTACACTGGCCAGTTGACCGGCCGAACTTCCGCCTGGTTGTCCTCCTAGTGTGTTGATGACAGCCAAAAATGCTCTACTGAAATACTAAATATCAGATAAAAATTTTACTTAAATTTGTATTCAAATTTAATAAAATAAACAATACACCGTTGAATATCTACTGTGTCTATATGAGTTCGGATCCTCTGTCATGGTTCCTTGTCATTGTTCCTAAGGTGCCCCAAAACGACGTCGTTTTGGGGCAAAATTTACAACAAAAAAAAAAGAAAAAGAAAGAATGAGAAGATACAGAGAAGAATAAATTAAAAGGTCATACGATCTCACCCCCTCTCCGGCGATCTCGCCATCCCAAACTCTTTTCCACCCCCTTCCTCTATACATCCATCGGCGCACCACCACCTCGCCGCCGCAATCCACCTCCGCCCACCCTTATCTGCAATCCACCTCCACGAACTCAACCTTCCCTCAACAGATTCAGATCCATACCTAGATGGCCGAACTCAACCTTCTCTCAACAGACTCAGATCGAAACCCAAATGGTTTTGAATATGGTTTTGAATATAGGTTTGCAGGAACCCAACCCATTTGCAAGAACCCATCAAATACATCGTCTCAAATCATTCAATCTTTATAGACTCAAATCGCAGGAGCCTAACCTATCACTACCTCTCCACCCACCAAAATCTAAACCAATATTCAAAACCCAAAAACAGAGACCTATTTGCACACTTCTGATAGCCCTTAGAATGGATAATATTTCAGAAAGAGTCCAACAAATAAGGTTATATTCATTATGTATTTGATAAGTGAAGTATTGGAAAAAGGTTTGAGGATTGAAGATTTGAAGTTTGAAAAAGAATTCTGGGAGTCAATAATGGTTAAAATCTAAGGTTATATTGAGTATGTATTTGATGAGTGAAGTATTGGAATATAATTATAATTAACAAAAAAAAAAAGGTTTGAGGGTTGAAGATTTGAAGTTTGAAAAAGAATTCTGTGAGTCAATAATGGTTGAAATCTATGAAAATGTGGTGGGAAAGAGGGAGGGTTTTGGTTTCAAAGTGAGATTTGTACACACAGTGATGCTTTCTAAGATTTTGAAAAGAAAATAGTGTTTGTGCCCTCTTCCTTCCTAGCGACCGCCACCGCAACCAACCTCCTCAATCAGAAGAGAAAGAAGAACAATAAGGAAGAGGATGAGTGAGTTTGCGACAGTGGTGCTGTGGGGGTCAGAGAGTGGCCGAATAGTAGGGGTCGCAGTGGTGTGAGTTGCCGAGAGTGTGCCGGAGAAGTTTCGTCTCCTCTCTCTGTGTTTTTTTTTTTTTTTTGTAAATTTTGCCCCAAAACGACGTCGTTTTGAGGCACAGCAGGTAACCATGGCAGAGGATCTGAACTCGCGTCTATATATCTTTTGTATAAACTCAAATTTTGAATATCCAATTCAAACTTGATAGGAGTTGCAATCTTCTGAGAGAGTTTTGTGTAAGAAGTATATTGATTTGTGTCAGGTTGAGGAAAGTCTGGCTAAACAAAAATCTAGAATTCAATGGCTGAGTTTGGGTGACAGGAACAGTAGCTTTTTCTTTAGGACTGTCAGAAATAACATCAACAGATGTAGAATTAGTAGTATTACTATGGATAGTGGGGTTAGGGTGACTAAACCCCTTGATATTCATGAAGCTTTTGTGTCTCATTTTTCCAATTTACTTGGTTCTCCAAGTGCTGGTACGTATGATGGGTTTGGTAGAGTTAATGATCTAATCAATAAAAGGCTTTCGAGTGCCCAGGTAACTACTTTGGGGCAAGATGTGACTGTTGAGGAGATTACTAGTGCGTTTCGGTCCCTTAATCCTAATAAAGCTCCTAGTCCTAATGGTTACTCTGCGGGGCTTTTCCATAGTGCTTGGGATATTGTTGGTAATGAGGTCATCCAAGCTATTAAATCTTTTTTTGACTCGGGGGAACTGCTTAAAGAGATCAATTGCACCACTGTTGCCTTAGTGCCTAAGATCCCCAACCCTAGCAAGGTGGGGGACTACAGGCCTATTTCTTGCTGCAACACTATCTATAAGTGTATCGCCAAAATCATTGCTAATAGAATCAAGTTTGTGCTTCCTGATATTATTGACCCTGTGCAATCTGCTTTTGTCCATGGCCGGAGAATTGCTGATAATATTTTCCTTTCCCAAGAGCTTATGAGAGGGTACCATAAAAAGTTTTCCTCTCCAAAATGTTCCATGAAGGTTGATCTCATGAAAGCATATGATAATGTGAGACGGGATTTTTTGTTTGATGTGCTTAGAGCTATGTCTTTCCCAACTCGTCTTATCAATTGGA